AAGAACGTCAACGTCGACATCGACCATTGGAGCGACTATCGATGTCCAGGCATGCACCTTTCAAGTGAACCAGCTAGCAGCCGCACGCCGCTCTCCAGACGTCACCGTTCGAACTCCCGTTTAACGTTGTTCGACGTCGACCAGTGGACAATGAATTTTCCCCGCTTCCTGACGAGGTTGGCGACGTCAACACGAACTGCGACGCTGCAGACGCGAACCCCGCTGACTCCCCCATTTCCGGGTTTACCACGCAAGGCACACCGGATCGCAGCCAAACTAAAGCACGACAGCTCAAGTTTTTTTTTTTTTTTTTTTTCAAACAACCAGCGGTCGAGATTGATTTCACCGCTACGCAACCTCGTCTTGCCACGGCAGATCCTCCGATTACACGCGCGCGCTTCACGCCGACGCCGCCCTTTACGATGGCTAGACGCAGCGAGGATCATAACATTAACATTTTCGATTAGTTGGACAAACTTTATTTAGATGGGGTGTGCGTCATTGAGCTTCGAGGACGCAAAGATTTCGAGCTTGGGAGTGTAAGCGAATATCCTCCCCACCTCGACGGGATGCCGACCGCGTAATATGATCGGAGCCCGACCAGCTGGACTACGACCCCCGACGCCGGCATCCCTGCGTGGGTATGAGAAAGATCGAGGAACGCGAGCGACAGGAATAGAAGGAAAACGAACGCGAATATAGCCCTCTTGTATCAAATCATTTCTCAAAGTTTTCATTAAATCGTTTTACAGTCTACAAAACCGTTCATTCCGTTCTAACACTTCTACACTGAAGAAAGGGTAAAAACACAATCGAGCTGGTGAAGAACTTCTATAACCGGAGACACGGAACGGTAAAGAAACTGACAAAACAACAAGCCTCAAACACAGCTTCTAGTTTATTTGAACAACGAACGCCCTGACATATACCGTATTTTCTGGACTACAGTCCGCACCCGGTGTATAGTCCGCAGGAGCAAATTTGGGGTCAAAAATAAAAGTTGTTGCTTACATAATCCGCATCTGCTGCATAGTACGCACCTGAGGCCGGATTCACGAAGCGAACTTACGCCCAAAAAGTGCCTATGACAAATCCTGAGAAGAAATCGGTATTCACGAAACGAAATCGTCGTAGCTTTTGCGCAACTTACGCCAAAATCCTACGACAGCCTCCGAGGTGTCTTACGCACTTAAGATCGAACATCAAACATGGCTGCCTACGTCTCCTGGCTGTTCCGGAGCCGCATAACAATTAGAGATGTGCCTGAGCACATCTTGGAGCACTACTACCGCATGCCCAAAGAGGCGATACGTGGACTGTACGATGCACTCGCCCCAAGCCTTCGAAGGCCGACGATGCGCAGCTGCACACTACCGGTCGACGCTCAAGTCCTGCTGGCCCTCCGCTTCTATGCCAGCGGCAGCTTCCAGTCAGTCGTGGGCGACGTGGTCTATTAGAGCCAAGCCAGTGCATCACGAGTTGTGAACAGCGTGAGCCAGGCCATCGTCCTCATGGCCAAGGAAGAAATTCGCTTCCCCACGACGCGGAGAACGGCGTTGCTCACCTCGTTGGGTGAATAGTAAGGTTCACGCTCATTTAGCGAAAACATTGTCAATTTCGCTTTTTATTACTACCTTTTCTAGGAATGCACTAAATAATCGTTGTCAATGTGTCGGCGGCGTGATGAGTCCTACGCCGTCGACCGCGGTTAGCCGCGGTCTGCTTTCGAGCTCGAAGCATACTGCAGATTTGGGAGGCATGTTAAACGTGCTCTGACACTCTTGGGTAAATAAAAAGAATAGTTGACGTGTTCGGAGCAGGTACACTGCAGCAGACAGCGAAAGCATCGTAGAGTTCCCCACTTGTAATGAGTGTTGCATGATTATGATTTAGTTTACTCTTTTGACGACACTGAGTCGATGAGAACAACTTGTTGCGTTAGTTTATGGTGTAAACCAACTGTGACAGCTTGTTGAGTCGCAAGACAAGCCCTTCTAAAACGTTACGTCGTTCGGTTGGGATACGAATACTTTTTTACGCTAGTACTGATCAAATTTGTCAGCACACGTACAGCTATTTTTTTCCTTCTTCTTTTCCATCATTACTTGGAGGCATATGATGAGTACTGTTCATGCAGTAATAGTTTTTGCATGCTTGTCAGGCAACTATACTTACTACATTTCCACATACGGCAAAAAGTAAATATTGGAGCCTCCTTGGCCCAAAGAGAGCAGCAGCGTAGCAGATGTAAGCTCTCTGCAGGAGTTGCACACATCGGCAATGCATTGTCACACGCCTCCTTTTTTCGATAATCCAATTGCTCAACTAGGGTCGTAGCGTTAGACAATTTCCGAGTTATGATAAAAAGTGTAGTAGTATAACAGCCCTGTTGTGTTTCGGTGCCTCTCCTAACATTACTTTTCGTTCATTCTGCAGCGTTCCTTGGGATCGCGGGCTTCCCAAGGGTGTTAGGGTCCATTGACGGCACCCACATTGCTATCAAGGTGTCCAAGGAGGACAAGCCTGCCTATTTAAATCGAAAGGGGTACACCTCCATAAACGTGCAGGCTATCTGCAACCCAGAGAGCATTATCACAGAGTTGACCGTGAAGTGGCCGGGTAGCACCCACGATAGCTCCATGTGGAGAAACTGCGACCTCTACGATCAGTTTGCCGCAGGTACTGGTCCTGATGGTTGGCTGCTAGGTAAGTTTTTTTTTTTAAGCTACAGTCAACAGACTGATTGAAAAGGGCATCCAATCATTTCCCATCGCTTAAGAGTGCCTGGAAAGCAACATTGGTTGCTTTTGAGGCACTTTTATGAAAGGCACTCTTAGGTTCATCAGCCTTCTAGACAACTATATGTCTCGAAGGCTGATGTAGTCTTCATGCTCGCAGCCCATTTCTCAGTCTGTTTCACCTTACTTGTCAGAGCATAGTCGAAGGCTCTTTAAGACATACAACCGTGAACACTCATACCAAAAGCGCGAGTCACTCACGGGGCATTCGCTCACTCGATTGATTTAGTCGACGAAAGAACGCGCACAGGAAGGTGCACGAATGCCGCGATGTCGTGCTTTGACGCCGTTAGGTTGGTCCCATTGGCTGGTAGCGTCGGCTGCGTTTTGAATTAAGGTGGAACAAGTGTTAGAGATTGCTCCACAGTGATTACACGCCAACAGCGCTGGCGGGTTGATCGCCGACATCGTCTCAATTTCCAGACGATGTCGCTGATGCCAGGAGCTAAACGTCGCGAGAAAACATAGCAAAATTGTAGGACGGCGACTACTCCGATAAGTCAGAAGAAGGGTCTTGTAGTCATCTTGAGATCACTCGGTTATCATGTCTGCGGCACGCCTCTGTGCCGCCTCTCACCGCCTCTCACCAGTGATTGCACGTCGAGCTTCAGCGCTTTACACCGGAGTGCTATGGAGCAGCGGCTGACGTGGGGTGAGCGCCTGGTTTAATGCGATAGGTTCGGAAATTATGCTCAGAATTGTTCCAGGTGTACCTTCTTTGGTCTTGAGTTTAGGTTCGTCTCTAATTTTAAGAAGCTGCTACGAGAGACGAATAACTAATAAAACGCGGGGTTCTATTTGAAAGAATGCGGTGGGTACTTCCCGCGCAGCTGTTTGAGCGAATGAGCAGCGAACTTTGACTTCACCCTTTTTCCAACATGCTAAAGGGGACTGTCACTTTTAAGGCACAAGCGTAAGTTTTCATAATATTTGTGAGTGGGTACTTTTGCTGTTCAACTATTGTTAGAGTATTGAGTTGGGTAGCTGGGTAGAGTTAGAGAATTGAGTTGGGTAGTTGGGAAGAGTTAGAGTATTGAGTTGGATAGGTTCTTAGAACTTTTGTGTGAGTGTGTGTGTGTGGGGGGGGGGGGGGGGGGGTCGCATTTTTATTGATAGATTTACTTTAGCGGATATGCTGGTTTTTGCAGTAATTTACAGATATTATATTTACAGGCTAAATAATCTGCCAGGTGTAAAAGTGAGAGGGTAAAGAGGCTTCGTGTGCCTTTCTCGCCCTATTTATTTTTATTACAAAAAGTAATAAGTAATATTAATTCGGTTTCAAAGAAAAACCCTCAATCATTATTATGGATGAGCTTCTTTAGCGATGCAATCACTTTTTCATTTTGGGGTGATGCCCTAACAGATGTTGGCATTTGCTTCAAAAGCGTCGGTGAATGCTCCAAACCAGTATCTTGCCTTCTACAGAGCCTGCTACAAAAAGGTCAAATGCCGCTTCCATCACTGTAGAGTGACTACCCGCAAATGTCAATCAGAGTTTTGTAGTTCGCTTCCGTCTTAAGTTGACACACCACAAGTAAATAGCTAAACTTTTTCATGCCCATCGTCTCTCATCCTATCTTGCTTGTAGCATATTGCTATACCTTTGAATGAGAACCATCCCATATCAAACTGTGCCCACTGATTCAGTATTTTGCCACGTGCTTCGAGAACTAGCCCCCCTAGCCCGCACTGCTTTGCTTCAAACCCCACTTGAACATTAGGTTTGAATACCAGGACTGCATTTCCAAAAGTTAAACCAAGCATCAACACTCTTTTCCAAATCTCATTCACCACTTCATACTTGTTAACTTCACGATGTTCTTTTCTTTATTACAGTTGCTTTTTTGTTGCCTTTACCATTCATGTATACTTACGTCCACTGGGTATTGTGTACTTTCTTGAATACAAAATCCTTAAATACTTATTAACCATTAAATTGTTATTCGAAAAGTTCAAATGTTTCAAGTAATAAAAATGCACTTTGAACCATATGAAAGTCAAAAGCTTTTGATAAGAAAATTTTAAGTTTTCTCTAATTCCTTCGTTACAATAAAAAATAAGATGTCGAATGATATCGGCATTGTTCAAAAATCTTCTTAACTGCATGAATTTATTGCTAGCGAAAATAATAATATCATTTTTTTTCTATCAATGAGATTGCATGTCTTGAGCAATTAAACGAACACACATACGCATCACTGAACACTCCTTCCTTTATTAATGCGAACAAAACATTAACAGTGGACGGGAAGGTAGATAGAAGGTATATTCTTTAACAGGCGTGTTTATGACGAAGCAGCAGCCAAATAAAAAAAAAAATGTCGCGAAAACTATAGCAATAGGTTGCCAGTCTTCAAAAATACGCCATGTGCTACCACCTGCTTACCGCGAAATGGTACCTTTATCATTGTCACGCATACTGACCGAGAATATTTTAAGAGTCACGCGCACACACTAAGAAATCTAAAACAAAGAGCGATGTGAAGTTACACTTCACCTGCTCATAAGGAGGACAACTCGTTACAGCTTCTTGGTCAGTGCAGACCACCCACCCACTACAGGTGGTGCTAGCTGCGAACATTCAAGCCTCCACAGATATGCACTAGACGTCACAATCCTAAGCGTCGTCATTTTATTTCTTTTCAATTTGCCGGCGCAAACAAAATTTGATAGGGCAGAATGACGTCACTTATCAAGTTAGTGTACCATGAGCACAAATTGTTCCGAGGTCATTCCCACACATAATAGAAGCTGGGATGAACATGATCTGTAAATGAGCTCGACTATACATGCCCAGGTAAAAATGCTTTCAGTCCAGGCTCTGTTATGGAACCGGAAATGAACTATGGCTGGAGCTGGAAATCTATTTTACCAGCCGAATTCCAGGCTGTTTCCACCCAGAAATGGACAAATTTCTTGCTGGAAATTAGATTTTTCCTCCTCTAGCTGGGGAACTTCCAGGTAGATCATGTACTTCCAAGCTGGAACAATTGGTGCTCCAGCAGGAATTTCTGATTTCTAGCATGTGCTGCATCCATTTCCATCTGTAAACAGAATTTCCAGCTGCTGCTGTATAATTTAGCCGAAAATGCGGCTGGAAATCTTCATTTCCAGCTGGAAGCTGCAGCTTATTTTCTTGGCTAGTAGCTAAAGGAAGACATTTTCTAAGGCTGATGGTAAAAGTCTTTTGCGAGTTTCCTTGAATGTAAAATTGTCGTATTCATATCTTGTAACCTTTTACGGTCGCCCTTCGTGTTCTGCCCCTATCCCTCAGACTGAAAATACGAAGAAAGCCTTACACCTCAGTGTTTGGGGTTTGGGGAAACGTGACTTCTAAAGAGGCCGAATCCATCACAATGGCTTCCGACAACAATTGCTATGGTAAAGGGTGGTCGATCAAGGCTAAGTAACCATAGACAAGCTGTACAAGCCCTCGACGTCTCGCTCGTCCAGAGTCGCGACCCTCGGGTGACGAGAGTCGGGTCAACGAACGCCGCCAAACAAAGTCACTCACATTCACGCACCCAATTCTCGTCCGCTTAGAGTCGCGACCCTCAGAAGAGCAGCCAGGCTCGAGCCACAAGTAGGGCGCAAGTGACTCGACACTTTCTTACTCGCAGGAGTCCCTGTCGCCCTTCATGCAACGTCCGATGGACTCCTTGTAGACCTGTGCCGTCGGACAGTGATGCACGTACCCTCGCAGTCCGTTGGTGGCCTTCGAGTTGGGCGCGCAGACAACAAACTTGCTGCAGCTGTCCGGATGCACGAATACTCCGCGTTTCTGACAGTCCACAGTATTCTCGTCAATCACGATAAGAGGCGGCGCGAACGGGTCCGGCGGCAACGTTGGCACCGGGGCCACCACGACCGGTCTTCTGTGGGCAGCCGCCGGTCTTCTGTGCGGCCTCCTGCTCGGCCGCCTTGTCGTGGTTGTCGTCGTAGTGGTAGTCGTGCGTCGCGTCGTTGACGTCGGAGGCCTGAACCTGGGCGGCGGAGGCTCCGTCTCGTCCTCGTACTCGTACTCGTACTCATCGTCGTACTGCAGCGTCGTAGTTGTCCTCGCCGTCGTAGGTCTCGGAGTCGTCGTCGTGGTCGTCGTGGTCGTCGTGGTGGTGGGTGGTGGAGGCGGTTGGGTGAATTCCGCCGGGATCTCGGCCAGCGGTTGGAACTGTTGCTGGACCGGGCGTCTTCTGATGGCGATCCTGCGCTGGCCCGGTTGAACATCGGCGGGTTCGTCTCCCTGAGGTTGTGGCACGGGTCTCACCCTGATTCTCTTGCCCCTACGTCCGGCGGGTGGCGGCACAGGGTGATCACCGTTGGCTGGACTGTTCACCCTCACCACCTTGTTGATTCTGAGCGGACCTCTTTCGTCTCTTTGAGGCACCGGAAGTACTGAGTCATCCACAAACGCCGGCTGCTGTCGTCGGGGCGGCGGCGGTGCTAGGGCCGGTGGGAATGTGGCGGGCCGTGGTGTAGGCGTGGGCGAACCGGTTACTGTCAGCGGTACCTGCGTCCGATGAGGAGTTTGGTACACGAAGGGCGGAACCGTGGCTGGAGCTGGAGTCACCTGGTACGTAACTTGCGGGAACGTTTGCGGGTATGTCTGCGGGTATGTTTGCGGGTTGGTCTGCGGGTATGTTTGTGGGTTTGTCTGCGGGTACGTTTGTGGGTTGGTCTGAGGATACGTCTGCGGGTTGGTTTGTGGGTATGTCTGCGGATTAGTCAGCGGATTGGTTTGTGGATAGGTTTGTGGGTTCGTCTGTGGGTATGTCTGGGGGATGGTCTGAGGGAACGTCTGGGGATTCGTTTGCGGATATGTCTGTGGGTATGTTTGCGGAATGGTCTGAGGGTATGTGGAGGGCGGTCCCGTCTGCCTGGTCTGGACAGGCTGCGTTGTCTGTGTGGTCTGGAAGGTCTGAGCTTGCGTGGTCTGCGTCGGTAGGCTTCGCTCGGGTGTCTGGTAGACGAACTGGAACGGTGAAGGCTCAGAACTACGAGGCGGAACGCTGACAGCTCCTAGCGGTGCCACGAAGACGTTGGTGTCCTGCTGAAGTGGTTGTGGAGTGGGCGGCGCTCGCGCCGGCTCTACGTACTGGAACAGTGGCGGTTCAACTTGTGGTCTCCTGATGGCGTGCCCCTGACTCTGGTTCACTGCCGTGGAAGGCAAACGAACATCCTCGTAGGCCGCAGGATCAAACTGTCCAGACTGGGGTGGCCTGGCGACTTGCGAGCCCCTGGTTCTGGTGGGCGGCGGCGTGGCGTCACCTGAGCCCAGAATGCTCTGCAGTTTCTCGACACCCCCGATGCTTTGCAGAAGTTTTAACAGCTCAGCAACGTTCTGTTCGTCCTTAGTGACGCCTTCTAGTTCCGGTTCCGGAGTCGTCGTCGTCGTCCTTCTTCTTGTCGTAGTTCTTCTAGTGGTTGTGGTTGGAGGTTCCGTTGTGGTCGTCGTCGTCGTTGTCCTGGACCTCGCCTTGGAGCGCCTCGGCTTCTTTGTGGTTGTCGTCACCGGATCGTTTTGCGGCGGCTGCTTGCACGCCACGTTGTCCTTGTAGTCACACGACTCCGACCTGGAGTTGAAGTAAAGGCCAGACGGACACGTGAACGCGTGCGCCACAATGCCCAGGTTGGCCGGGCCGCTGTCCAGACACCAGAAGTACTTGCGGCAGTCCTTGGGGTTGTTGAAGAATCCTTCGTCTTCGCACTCGAACGCTGGTCCAGGGTCGGGCGTAGGGGGTGGAGGCGGAGTCGTGACCGAAAGCGCCGCGTTACTGCCCCTGCGGAGGCTCGAGCCACGACCTGGTGACAATGACGACGACGCCTTGGAGATCCTACGCTGCCCTCCCGTGTTGCCTCTTCTCTTCGTTGAGGCCGCCGTCGTAGACGGTTCGTCGTCTTCGTATTCCTCGTCGTCCTCAGAAGGCCGAAGAAGCGCACGCGTCTGGTGGTTACTCCCGCTGGTCTGGATGGCCTTGCTGAGGAGCGCCTTGCGGAGAGCAGTGATGAGAGGGCTCTGCTCGCCTCCGCAGTTGCCGCGGAAGTCGTCGTTGTCCAGCGTCCAGATCATGACCCCGCCGAGGCCCTTGGAGAGGATGTAGCTGGCCTTTTCGCGGAGCATCTCCTCATCGTCGAAGCCAACCCACTGGCTGTCCTTGAAGGCATAAGGACCCATGCGCTTAGGGTGGGGTCGCTCCAGTTCCCAGCCGTGCTCGTTGACGTTCTGGCAAATCTGTTGTGAGAGGAAAAAGAAATCACTTCTTGTTTTCGGTTGGGCATATAGAATCGTAGATGAATCGCTTTGGAAGGACTGTACCTCAAACTAAACTATTTACACCTTTAAGGGTGTAGGAAAAGGTTTCAGAGACTTATACCCACACCTTTTTAACACCCTCATTTTGAGTGATACATTCTTTTTACTCGTAAAATAGGGTGCTGTTGCATGAAACATCCTTCATCTTTGAAAGGTGTAGAAAAAGGTGCGGCGGTACAGTGCGGCGGAGCTTTAGCGAAGGTTTGTTTTAGCGACTACAGCGAACAATTTTTTTTATATGACTGTGTGCTTCTTGGAGGTACATACCTTTGAACTTCGAGATATGTGCTTTATGTGAAATATCGAGAGCCAAAAAAGTCACCTACTTGTAGCTTCCTCATTGCTGATTCATTGCGACAGTACTCAATTATGACAAATGCCTCTGTTGGCCGCTGTGTTGCCTTGAAACTTGTCAGATATTGCTAAAAATTTCCGGCATTTTATTTTATTGTTTTGTCCAACACCCTAAAGTCGCTGTCGGGCTGCTAATACACCATACAAAAGACAGTATGCAGAAACACTGTCTGAGGCGTGTCTCCTCATTGTATGGGTCCTGCACATTGGGAATACGCAATAGGGAGTTTTAGAAAACCATTTCTGCACATCCGATACGGTGCGATGGGTCCTCCGGTACGAACTGCGCATAAGGGGAGTCTTCTGTGGTAGCGCATGCACCACAGAAGAACGGTTCCCTAAAACTCCCTAATATGTCCACAGAGATGTTCAAAGCACACATGTGTGAAGCAAACATGCTTGGTACATGGTTGAGACGTGTCTGCAGAAAATTTTGTAATAACGCCTACAATTTTGTATGACGTACTAGACCTGAGCTGTGTAACTTGGCTTAAAGGCAGGATTGTAACACCTTACGGGTGTTAGACCTGTGACAATCTGGGTGTAAAAAAAATTTTTGGTATATGTATTTAGTAGGGGGTGTGGGAATACTAATTGGAATTTAATAGCGCAGCGTCATCCCTCCAACTTCCACTCTGCAAAGGAAGGCTATGAGGTCCGTTATATTTTAACCACTATTCGCACATTCCTGATATTGGGGCCGTCAGCCATATTCGCGACTCCAGCGACCTATAGGGGGCGCCACCACCAAACAAACATGGCGGCTGGGTCCAGGTCGCGTTGGCTCGGCCGGGCCGCCTGAACGGGTGGCGCATTCAGTTTAACAAATTTTCTTTTGTTTACTGCCCAATTTTATAGGCATTTGAACTGAGCTGGTTAAATGTAGCCGGTGCGCATAAACTTGCCGAGCATAGTTTTGTTTTGCCGGTGTCTTTTTGTTCTTTTCATGTCAAACTTTCGTTCCGGAGACTTCGTTCAAAATCGAAACTATGGGCTCCGGAGAAACTGTAATAGACTCTAATTAATTTTGATCATCTAAGGAAAGCGGCAATGGCTACAGAATTGTTCCACCGAGAGTAATTTTTAGCTAACTCGCATGCCTCGACCATGCGACTTATCTGTCCGAGAAATCGAGCTTTTGCGCGTATCCACGTTTAAGAAACAGCTCCAGTCGTCTGCTCGGTCAACAAGACAGGCTGCAGGAAAATTACGAAAATTAAGCAAGCGCTTCTTGAGCCAAGGAACATGTTAACCCGCTGGCGCTTCACTAAGCAGCTGATACTCGTATTTAAATTCAGGTTTTAGTAGCAATCGAGAAGTCATTTTGACCAGCGAGTTATGTACTATATTACGTACTATGGTTCCACTAAAGCGATATTAGTTTATTCTTCGGGCTGAAATATGAACTTAGTTGACTAGCTATCAGGTGACCTGCTGAATAAAAGAATATTTGACAGACAGGGAGATACTATGCGTAAACGTAGCCAAATGGTTCCAGCCGGTAGCACGGAGACGAATGCGGACAAATTGAAGAGAGTCTTCATCGGAGATTCACTCAGAACCTATCTGCATTGAAGTTGACTTCGAATCGTGAACGGATAAAATGAGTATTTTTTGTGGCCGGTCAACCTGAGCAATATTGACGTATATTGCTGCTGGCTTGGACGGGGGTATGATATAAATATTGGAGGCGCGATAGATCCTAATGCCATGGCAGCTTCTAACTTTGCGAGACGCGTCCCCCACCTTTTGAAAGCAGATAATTTCCCTCATTAATCATAGGCAGCGAGCAGGTTTTCCTGAATCAAGTAATTGCGAAATTAGACCAACTCCTTCAGTAATGTCCAGATGCTTTTTCGGCGAAAAGCCGCCAAGATGAATAGCCAACGCACCGGCCGGCGTGGGTGGCTCAAACTTGAAGCTAATCGAGCACAACCAAACTCGAGAAAAGCAGCTATCGAACCTTCCCATTCACTTGACTGCAACATTGGTGTTCCTTCCAGTGTAACACCTCGTCTGTCGCCCATAGTCCATTGTTCTACATCCTTATTAAAAAAAAAATAATAAACACTTATCAGTTACCAAGTAGTCGTCACTATGAATGCGATTCAAGACAGACAAGAAATCAAAACGTTTTTCCGTGATTCCTCCGCATTCAAGAAATCGAAAGCACGCGACTATGTGTTGTGGAGTAAACGGTCTTTCAAACACGTGATGGAAGGAAGCAATCTATCTGAGGCTTCACCACACTAATGAACACTCAGGCAAACTTAAAAAATTTTCGGACCTTTGTTAAATTACAATGTTCGCCACCGCGCCGACAACACGTGTCCGCGAAAGCCACCAGAGACGCGGAGAAGCGCGGAGCGACCTGGACCGGCTGGTTCCCGGTTTTCCCGCTTGGCGGCGTCCGTTTTGCTGGAGTCGCGAATAGTAGAAGACAGCAATCCGTACCTCGTAGTAGGCCAGGTACCCTTTCTCCCGCGTCGAATTCCCGGGCTCTCCCGGCCCCTCTGCGGGAGCCTCGAGCTCCGTGTCGTCCAGGTCCTCGAGGGTGTAGGACCGTCCGTACGTCGGCACTCCGACGATGAGCTTGTTCTTGGGCGCGCCGAGCTTGAGGTAGTAGTCCACGGTCCAGCGGACGTTAAGCCGGTTGTCCTCGTCCCAGTCTTCCAGGCCGTCCAGGGGACCAAGGGGCGCGTGGTGCTGGGTGGCGGACTCGTACGCCGTGTGGTAGTCGTACGTCAGCAGGTTCAGAAAGTCCGCGGCCCTGGTGGGACGTATACGAGGGCATGAATGGGTGAACGGATGACGGCGAACTGAACCTCTTGTAACGGCCGGTGACAGTGCACCTTGCCTATAGCAAGTGCTTTCGCACGGCGTCGCTTTCCCATTTTGTTGTTAGCTGATAACTTTTGGGATTCATGCCTTTCTGAGCTCGACGAGTTTGATGATGCAAAGGACAGCAGAATATACCCAAGCAGCATATACCATCCAAATGTCGAAGAATACTGTGTCAGCGAATGCATCCTTGAATACAATAAGAACCACCCAATCAAAAATGCTTCAGCAGGAGGCGTCCGCTTTATTTGCCGGCATCCGCTTGAAGCGGCATTCTCCGTTTCCTGCTAAAAAATACGTCCCTCTTGTAGGCTTGCTTCCTGTTTTCTGGGTATCATTACATTGTCATTATTTGACGCTGTATTGTTTTCTTAGTGACGTGGTCTTCGCCGTCTATGTGGGCGACATAGGACTCTATTTATTCCTATATTGGTGATTCTCGGCGCGAGCGCATGAGGTTCAGAAAGGGAACTCATAATTTCAATGCAAACATTATTATGACAAATAGATCTGCAATTCAGCAATCGCATTGCTTCGTTTTATGTTTTCTTTTAGTTTGGAGCATTTCGGTTATCACGTGAGCGTTTTCAACTTTCATTAAAAAAAAAAGACAAGGAATCGATAGACAAAATGTGGCGATTAAATAAACGGTCCTTTTGTTAAGGTTTTCTATGCATAATGAATAAGTCATAAAGAGGATGGCTAGAGATATGCAACTCAAGTCTAAGAAAAACAACCCAAACACCCACTTGGCGATGGTCTTGACGTCGAAACCATTGTCAATGTACTCCTTGCCCGCGGGCATGGCGACCGAGAGCAGTAGACGCTGCTTGCCTCTCGGCACCGGCTCGGACTCGAACGCTTCCCTCAGCTCCTGCGCAGACCACAAGGGTTACAGCGTGAGTACGAGAGTGAAGACGCGCTTAAAACCATCAGTTCATACACAGACCAAAAGGGTTACCAAACGAGTTCGAGTTCGAATACGTGCTTTGAGCTTTCAGCTCTTACATGGACCAGATAAAACACTAGCACAAGTTTGAAAACCTGCTTAAAACCCTCCGCTCCTACACTGATCATGAATGGTTACGGTACGAGCACACATTTTTAGGACGTGCTTAGAACCCTCAGCTCCTAGGACAGACCACAAGGGCTACAGCTCGAGCATAAGTTTTGAAGACATGTTAAGAATCCTCAGCTATTACACAGACCACAACGGTTACAATGCGAGCACGAGTTTCAAGATGTGCATAGAACACTCAGCTCCTACACAGACCACAGAGTTACAGCACGAGCACGAGTTTGACGACGTGCTTAGAACCGCCGGTTCCTACACGGACCACAAAGATGACAATAAAAGCAGGAGATTCAAGGCTTGCTTCTGCCGGACGAGCTATAGCAAGCGGCATCAACGTCAACGAAGACTTTGAACACGCGTTGGCGTATCTTAGAATCACTAAATAAGGTATACGCTTCAGAGTCCAGACTAACGACACTCTAGCCATCTTTGTGTGCAACATCATTGTTGTCAGTTATCTGAAGCTCTATCTGAGATTGCAGGAAACTATTTTTTGTCTTCCAGAAATGTTAAAATGTGAGCAAAACGATATCGCCCGAGCATCTCACCTCCGTCTCCAAAGCTCAGGAGTCGCAGTTTCAAATCGGAACGATCGCGAATTGTGACCGCTCTGCACTAAGCGCAAAAATGTCGGCGTCCATAAGATAATGTGAGAACTAAGTGCTGTACTCTAAGCATAGCTTACTCAATTGCTCTATGGCACGGCTTTAGCCCAGACAGCCTGGTTTTTAGTTTGGTCTTCGCTGCTCTCCTGGGCACTACTATACAAGTACGTAGTCAAGATTGACGAGAGATGGATGCGTGATAGCTACGTGTTTTGTTAAAGGGTGGTAGCTTGTGCCTGTAGCGAATGTAAGTGGTTTTCGTGGAAAACTTCTTGAAAAAGGGGGACCGCGAGTACTCGCGCTGCTAGGTTTTCGCGGCTTTTTGTGGCTCGTTGTACAAAAAAAAGAAAAATCCTAATCAATCCGTGTTTGGTAAATTATTCAATGTTTGGATGTCTAAAATCAAGACAAGCCTCGTTGAAATTTCCACCCAGTGCGAAAGACGCCGCCGAAGTTCGGTGATATAAACGATAAGGAAGAAGTGAGCAGTGAGGCAGGCGGCACACCTGCAAGGTTGGCTGCAGCATGTAAGATTTGCACATAAAACCTTCTCCATGAAGTGAAAATCGCGTACTTTGGCTCGGATATCAGTACTTGGTCTCCTTCTGCGTGCCATTCATACCCGGCCGATTGATTCAATACAATCCACTATAGAATTCTAGAGACGTTGCCATGTCGAAAATTACCACGTCTCTTAAGGCTTAGGAATGGCCAGAATCAAAAGAACTGAAAATGGGGCGAGATCATTGCTCAAACTTTACGATTTAAGCGGGGAAAGGCAAAGCGAAGGCCTTCTTCACTATTCATTGCTGACAAACGTGCCCGACTATACGACATATCAGTTCCAAAGCAACAGATGTTCGCTGGGAGGGGCGCCGCCATGTTTTCCCGCCGTCCCCACTCTGCCGGTCACATGACGTAAAATTTCCCACGTAGGGAAATGCGGTTAACTTTCTGCCGCGGTTAAAGTTCACCGTCTGACAAGCAAACGTTTCAGATCCATAATTCGATGTTTTTCAAGTTAAGGCTGGTTCTGGCGTTTGCGTCTGAGTACATGCAAATTTCATTACGACCGCTTATTACTGCTTGCGACGAGATGGTTGCCCTGGCAACCGAGGTCCGCTCAAAGCGTCATGGTGGAACGCATGGAGCCGCAATACAGACGGCTATTCTAAAACACAGATGTATAAATCAACCTTTAAATTAAAACGAAACATAGTTGTTTTAACTTTTAGCCACATCACGCGTCACGGTCAAATGTGTCGGTCGATAGGCCGTTAAAATTAAGGGCTTCCTTGAACCACAAAGCGTTGGATGTGCGCATGCTGAGCTGTATTTGGTAAATATTCAAATGGCCAATAGGCCACACGAACACCATATCTAATCGTGTGGCCACGTATACTTTTTGTTTGTTCATGGTTTTCTACAAGCAATCTGACGATTCTTTTGTGTCCACACAGCAAGTGAAGACTCACCATCCACACCAAAAATATATAACGCAAACAAGGCTTAAATAGTATCGAAGCTCCGCTTTTCACCACAAGGAGCGCGGCGTTCGACCCTTGTTACGGCCACAAAACTATGGATCCACACTATATAGACTGTGGAACTCCAGGGTTGCACTCTCCGGCTGTTTTAGTTTTTCTGCAGTTGTCCTCGCCGAAGAGGTTCCGTGCCTTCTAGGGTGACCTCCCTCACCTTGATGAGCTGAGCGTAGCCCGTCTTGTCCTCTGGCTTGCCGCCGTCCCTGAAGCTGGGGTACTCCCAGTCGAGGTCGAGTCCGTCGAAGCCGTGCTCTCGACAGAACTTGACGGCGCTCCGCACAAACTTCTGCCTCTGGCTCCGGTCAGACACCATGTGGGAAAACCTGTAGCAGAAACCAGGGGTCATTTTAATCGTTTTGGTGTTTTGGGGAGTGAGCCTTAGAACCGTATGAGAAACTGTACTCTGTTTCACAGTTACCGCTCATTCACACTGGAAGCGGATCCGCGTTCGCAAAGCGGTTACGAACGCGATTGTATAAAGATCCAGTACAATTGCACGCGCACTTGATGTCATCGAATGCGCGTTCAATAGTACTGGATATTTATACAACCGCGTTCGCAACCGCATTGCGATCGCGGATCCGCTTCCAGTGTGAATGAGCGGTTAGTCCAGCCGCAGCCAAGGCTACAATCCGATCTGGAGTCAATCCAACAGCGCCATAAGTGCAACGTCACGGCTGTCGTCGAATTTGTTTGTCTGCCTTGTCACCGGTTAAAGTAATCACGCTCAGCAAAAACTCAAGATCAAGGCGCATTCGCTGTGCGTGATTTGTCTCAACGAATCCTAGCGTCGTCTGTTGTCGAACTTAGAGTGAAACGAAGTTTAGAGTCTCACTATGAAACGCAATTGTCACTCCAGGCCGTAAGGTCGGCAACCTGCATATGGGTAGAGTCAAACCCGTTTATAACGAACAGCAGGACACGCTACGATCAATTCGATATAGCAAAAACCATTTACAACGAACTTCCATGATGCGTTCGTTATAAGGCGAGAGCTTTCTCATCTTTTGGCTTTTGCCTTGTAACAACGCGCTGAATTTTTTTTTTTTTTTTTATGCGTTCAGATTTTTTTATGTTTATCTCCCCTTCTGAATCGCTTTTCTTCGTGGGCAACCGCTTTAGGATGAATTTTTTTTCTGTGCGTGAGTGCAGAGTTTTTTTTAGCTTTCTCCCCTTCTGAATTGCTTCACCACGCACAATTTTGTTCGCGGCTAGAGCTTTTGGAATTTTCTTTCTCTCCTACCTTTTTTTTTTTTTTTTCTTTTTTTTTTTGGGGGGGGGGGGGGGAGGGACAAGTTAGAGGACGGTTGTTTGCGCGTTTTTGGAAGCTTTCCTGGTGGGAAAAGTTCAATATAGCCAATGTCTTTTTCGCTATAAAAAGTACTTTTTACATGCCTTTTTATTTAAATTTTTCGTCAGTTCGATATCGACAATAATTCGCTGTACGTGGGTTCGTTCTAAACGGGTCTCACTGTAAATGATGACATGTAAACTGCGTACATTTGTTTCTTTTTTTTTTATTGTGCGCTTCAAAGTCATGCTATAAAAGATGTGGGTCTCGCCTTAAACAAAAAAGGATCGCTGTTGACATGTCTGCTATATAGTTATATCGCTGCGGGTGTTTGTACATACCTTTTGGAACCCTCATTCCAACCGCCAACGGCGACCATTGTCTTCAGGTCCTTGTTATACTGCTTCAGACCAACAAACTTCTTGTAATTGCCTGCGAATACGCCAAAGAAAGAAGATTTGTTATATATATCTCTCTTTCTCTCTCTCTCTCTCTCTCTCTATATATATATATATATATATATATATATATATATATATATATTATAAAACAAAGCCAAAGCCAGTACTGGGAATAGACCGATCTCACCAAGCGAACTGCGGAGGTGGTGCGGCGTGTGCCGCCTCCATGCTATATACTTGTATACCGCATCTTGGTCACAAAACCAGTCAGTTTAAGTGGATAGAGCACCCCCTATTAGGCAACAAGCAGCAAACACAGGAACCACGTCTTCAGGGGAATCATGTTCTCCAGTTCGCCGGTACCGAACTCGGATTATTTGTAATGGTGTGCGCGCCTCCCCGTCCAAGTGTACTTTTTACAGGCTCATCTGATTCGATTCTGTCCCAGCTGGACAGCGCGATACTCGTTTATCTCGAACACCCATTTAATGAGTTCAAAACTTAATAGATATATCCTCTTAAAATGATTAAACTATAAAAGGTAGATTACTTAAAGACCCAACTTGTCGGCAAGGTTACTTATGCAAGAATAAACAATTAGGACAGAGCAAAGAACACGACCTCTTTCAACTACAGCGACAAGCAAGAATGAAACAAAACCGTCCCCCAAAGGCGTCACCAAATCTTGGAATCCAAGGTTCGGTGACGCCTTTGGGGGGCGGTTTTATTTCATTATTGTTTGTTGCTAGTTGAAAGAAGTCGTGTTCTGTGCTCTGTCCTATTTGTTTATTCTTGTGTGGGTAAAAAGGGTATATTGTACTGAGTGCATTTTATATGCCTTTTTTTCTTAATGGCGTAATAACTTTTGCCCATCAGACACGCAGCAAACATTGCATGTATTTTGCGTGTCTCTTTGGAGTCACGCAAAAGTAACCGAGTAAAGTACCGAAGTTTTTTTAACTTTGTTTACTTTTACTGTTAGTAATTTTAATGGCAATCCATTGCTTTTTAGACCAAGCAATCGTAATAGTAATCAATTACTTTTTGGAATAACGGGCGCATGTATAGTTTTAATGGACATCACATCGCCAGGTTTATGGAGGAGATATAGATGGGAAGGCCAAAGATTAGGTAAACACGCCTCAGTGACTGATACGCTAGTCTTTAGCCGGCTCCCAGGTTTGCTTACGCTTATCGGGTAAGCAAATCTGGATGCCGGCTAAAGGCTAGCGCATGAATCAGATTCATGCGCTAGCAGTCGGCTCCCGATTTGCTTGCGCTTATCAGGGAAGCAAATCTGGAAGCCGGCCAAAAGTTAGCACATGAAACAAAATAAAAAACTGTCTTGCTTTGTATGTTTATACAACCTTGATGTTGGTACGTCTCAACGGGCGGCCGGTCCCTTGGCTGTAGATGAGAAATTTAGCCAGTGCAGTACCACTGCTAACCTGGGGGTTTTAACGTGCCTCACGCAGTAGTAATTACACGAACGCGTGCCGGTACGAAACACATCCAGATCGAAACGGGCGGGGAGATCGAACCCAGGAGGTTCCCAACGCAAGCTTTCGCTCCACGCTCCGAGCTGAGACGCGTTAGCCCACTCGGCCACTGATTCCCCCACATGAAACAGATTCAAGCACTAGCCTTTAGTCGGCTTCCAGATTTGATTACGCTTATCAGGTAAGCAAGTCTGAAAGCCGGCTAAAGGCTAGCGCATAAAACAGATTAATGCGCTAGCCTTTAGTCGGCTTCCAGATTGCTTACGCTTATCAGGTAAGCACATCTGGAAGCCAGCTGAAGGTTACCGCCTTAAACAGTATTGCGATAGCCTTTAGCCGGCTCTCATCTTGCTTACTCATGCGATAGCTTTTAGCCGGCTCCCAGGCTTGCTTACACTTATCAGGTAAGCAAATCAAGAAGCCGGTTAAAGGCTAGCGCATGAAACAGATTCATGAACTAGCCTTTAGTCGGCTTCCAGATTTGCTTACACATATCAGGTAAGCAAATATGTAAGCCGGTTAAAGGCTAGCACATGAAAGATTAATGTGCTAGTCTTTAGCAAAGTTTGCTTATGCATATGGGTAAGCGAATATGAAAGCCAGCTAAAGGCTAGCACAAAAATCAGATTCATGTGCTAGCCTTTGGCCGGCTCCCAGATTTACTTACAGTTATCACGTAAGCAAATCTGGAAGCCGACTAAAGGTTAGCGCATGAATCTGTTTCATGTGCTAGCCTTTAGCCTAGCGCATCAGTCTGATTAATGTGCTAGCCTTTAGTAGGCTTCCATATTTGCTTACGCTCATCAAGGAAACAAACCTAGAAGCCGGCTTAAGGCTAAAGCATAAATCAAATTCATGCACTAGCCTTTAACCGGCTCTCATGTTTGCTTACACTTATCGGGTAAGCAAAGCTAGAAGCCGCCTAAGGGCTAGCGCATGAATCGGATTCATGTGCTAGCCTTCAGTCGGCTTCCAGATTTGCTTACACTTTTCAGGTATGCAAATCTGGAAGTCGACTAAAGGCTACCGCATGAATCAGATTCATTCGCTAGCCTTTCGTTGGCGTTCAGATGTGCTTACACTTACCAGGTAAGTAAATCTGGAAGCCGGTTAAAGGCTACCACATGAATCAGATTCATCCGCTAGCCTTTTGTTGGACTTCAGATCTGCTTACACTTATCAGGTAAGCAAATATGAAAGCCGGCTAAAGGCTAGCGCATGCATCACTGAGGTTTGCTTACCTAAGACTCGGCCTCCCATCCTCTGACCTCACCCGTAAATTCGGCAACGTGATGTCTATGTAAACGCGCCAATCAAGAGTGCCATAACCGGCGTGCTACTCGTGAAACGTTTTCGAAAATGACACCGGGACCATACCTTGCTCAACATCGTTGTACGGGTCGTAAGGCTTGAGCTCGTAGCGCTTGTTGAACCCGGCGAAGGCGTAGATGATGTGAGTGCACAGGTAGGGGTTGATGTTTTGCGGGGTGAATTTGGCAAGGGACGGTCGGTACACCGCCCAATTGGAATAGTAGCAGACGATCTTCAGGTCACCTCCGGTTCCTGACGATGCAGCTCGCCTCTCCACCACGTCTGCAGCATAGCGAGCGTCGTAACGATTAATGAACAGGGCTTCCCAAAAAAAATTTACAGGGTTTTCCCTCACCGGAAAAGAGTAACTATGCATCGCCGAACGTTCATTATGCGCCCAAATGTCTCACTTGTGGTCCGAACCAGATGTCGAAGCTTCAGGACAAACTGTTATCTTATTAATAAGTTGTAACTTGTGATTTCCTCAAACTTTGAATGGGAAAATGGCGGCCGATGGAGCCCTATAATACATGGATCTGAATGGCGCCGGTTTCCCGGAACGGGCCCCACTTTCCTGATTGAAAATTTTCTTAAAATCAGTTGTAACTTTTGAATGGGATAATGGTTAGTTCTGACACTTTGGTATCTGGTTCGAACCTTTAGTGCTACATTTGAACGGATAATACGCATTTGGCGTAAGAAATAGTTTGTTTCTTTCTGTAAGAAACCCCTGTATTTTTTTTTCGCGGGGTACACCTGAATCATTATCGCGGACAGTATCAGCTGAAACAGTCCTCCATGCTTCTTTGGAGTACATGTCAGTTTTTGAGACAAAGTCTGAAATACGAATGGAATGCTAAGTATGGGGTCTCATTTTTCGGACTGTACTGGACAAATGGAGAGATAATGGAGCTTGTTGGGACCGCATACGTAAAATAATGCCGAGATTTTTCACAGAATCTAAGTAAGATTGTGTCCCAGGAATTTGGCTAAAACGTAACCCTACCGCGGCGGTCAAAGATACAAAAGCTTAGGGCATAATAAAATAAAAACAGACAAACTATGTTAAAAAAAAAAAACTCGTAAGGAAGCTGTTTTTGCCCGGAGTTCCCCTGAGTTCGTCTGAAGTTCGATACCAACGCAACCATCAGAGCAGCACTTGCTGACAACAAAAGATGCCGTCCTGTCACTGACAATTGAAAACAAATTCGCTGCACCATTTTTTTCTGCAACTGAACATGAGGCTTCGCGTGTTAACAAAACTCTCAGCATTGTTTATTTGAACTTGAAATGTTTCGGGTTTTTCTTTTTTCTTTGGGGTGGCGGCCGGAATTTTCATTATTGAATGACTTAATTGCTCCGAACACTATTTGAACATACACAGTTGTAAATCCCAAAACAAACAAACAAGCATACAAACAAACAGAACGGTCTTACTACTTTACATTTTACGGCGGTCTATATAAAAAAATAGTGGCAAAACAAATCCGCTTCTTTTGGGGGGCGTTGGGTTGACAAAGTGAAACGACGCATGCAAAATACAACACAAAAACGTTAAAAAAAAGGCTAATAAGATTTTTTGGGGGGCGACACCCACGAGGACTGTATCCTTATTTCAAGAATATAATCCAAAGCAGATATTAGCATATAACATAACAAAGAACAAAGTACACCAGCGAAAATGCATAGGAAAGTGATCGTAATCAAGATTTTGGGAGTAGCTGGAAAACAAGTTTATACCACAAAATTCTCTAGCGTTGTAGATTTTCTTAGAAACTTCCTTCGGAATGCATGGACCCATGCATACTGCTGAATTCAATTGGACGGCGGCTTGCGCCGCCTAGCCAGTGTGTATATGTGCGCTCCTAGCGGTTGTCAGTCAAAACTGAGAAGATATGAACTAAACTCGAATGCCCCTTTTTTAGAATGAAAGTAGTAGCGCTTAAAACCGTACTAGAGGGTGAGCCATACTTGTGTGTAAAGTCATACTTGTCTGTAGAACTAGTGCGCATAAATCCACGTTGGCGAGTTCGAACAAATATAAGAAACAAAGAAACTCTTTTTTTTTTTAATTTCAAGCGCGTCTTTTATTTTTGAAAGATGAATGTCAAATAGCTTCTGCGCATCCGCTTGATGTGATGATTATAGTATAGCAGCCGTACAGTTGCGTGTAAAGATGTTATACTATAGTCCGTGACAGGATAAGAGTAAAGTGGAAAAAGGTGGGAGGAGCTTGACTTTACATTTAAGCTGTCTATAATTCTGTGTATACCATACTTGCATGAAAAAAAAAACCAACGCATGCGCTCTAATAAGGGTACTTCGCGCTCGTGCTTTCAATCGCGAAAAAAAGAATATATATACATATATATATCTGGCTTCACAGCCTCTCCGTTATGCATTCGAAGATAGTTAAACATATATGATCACTTTAGGAGAGCCCCTAAGAGACCTCTGGAGCGGACAAAATGCAACGGCACAAATTATAATTAAAATTTCTGTGGCCTAGCTATGTAGGTAAGTCAGTAAGTAAGTCAGGTGAACCAAGACCCTTTTAGATCAGGGCGGGTACTCTGAAAGGGTACCTCTGGTTCCGTTGCAAAAATACTTACGGGATGGCGCCACCAGCCCAGCGCCCAGGGCAAAGAGCACGGCGAACCGTAGTATCATGTTTCACTGTAAGGCAAACAGATTCAACACGTCAGTTAACAATGTCAATTTCCTTTTAACTCTTGTTGAGTATGTGTTTTTTTCCATTTTTTTTTTTGTATTCAAATATTATGCCATCCTTCTATGACCTTTGGTCGAGAAGTGCGGTATCGCCGAAATAAAATCAGCGAGTAAACAAATCCAAAAGACGCAAGCAGGGGACAATAGTTCACTAATACAGGAAACTTCTCCATAAACGGGTCACTATGTTTTTTTTTTTTTTTTTTTTTTTAAACCACAAAATGTTGTGCCCATACACAGCGTTTGTTTCTGTTGCACGAAGTATCAATAATTTAGTTGGTTCAACTCGTTCCAGCGTTACGCATGCGCTCACACTGCCTAATTAAAATATGGTTTACTCGCAAGCATTTATAAAAATGCAACATTTCTTTATGCGTTGCGCTTACGAGATACAAACATGGCAATAAAGCTCAATTCTTCGTTTGAACAACATCAGTTGTATTTCACGAATAAAAATGATATATTTGAAAACGTCATGCCAAGAATTAAAGGTGTTTAATATGCCTCTTTAATATAGCATATATCACACGTTTATCCAAGCCGACAGCTTTAGGGTGTAGTTCAGGCATCTTTTGACAGCACACATCTAGATCATTGTCCTTAGGCATAAAAATATTTTATTCTTCGTGAATCTAGCTAACTTCCATTGTGCTTTTCATGTTACACTTCCAGTAAAAAAAATAGATATATGAAGTTACTTGTAAATATATCAGCTTGAACTTTAGAATTAAACTTGAACACGAAGAAAGAACGTTCTTTCTTCGTGTTTAAGTTTAATTCTACAGTTCAAGCTGATCAGGGATGGGCAAAATACATGCAAATATGTATCGAAATACAAATACAAAATACTTCGTCAAAAATGTATTTAATTACAAATTTAATTACATTTCCAAAAAGTATTTAAATACAAGATACAAATACAACCAAATGTATTTGGTCTCCTCCAAATACTTTTCCAAATACATTCCTCAAAATTTACGTCAGCGACTTCAGGGCACCTGCAACGGGTTTCTGGGTATCTCATTTTAATTTTGCATTGTACACTCGGGAGTTAGTGTGCGAGGCTCTAGTAACGTAACAGAAATATGATCACAAAAAAAAATGCAATCAGCTTGGATGTAATAGGTGAAAAAAGTACAGAGCTTCGAGCAGCTTTTTTTGTCGATTACACTTTGGTATAGACCAAGGGTGGCCACGCTGACCCGGTCTCAGAGCCGCAAACAAAATCACGAAACTTCCAAGAGCCGCAAGGGGCAGGGGAGGGGGGAGGGGGCGCAAACTTTTGTTCAGAGCAATAAACGAAACTCGAACTATTTTCAATCTATCCGAGTCAAAAGCGGCCCAACTCTACGTAAGGTAGCAGTAGCGCAAGACTACCAAACCGCAACCTGTCTTTCGATTTAAAACGCGTTTCATTTCTCCATTTGGGGAAGTGCTTGTGTGACAAGGAGGGAGGCGTGGAAGGGGGGGGGGGGGGTAGGGGAGGGAGCCGCTAGCCGCACTTTCAGACGCGAAGAGCCGCATGCGGCTCGCGAGCCGCAGCTTGGCCGCCCCTGGTATAGGCCAACAGAGAACCGAGACGACCAAGACGCGCAGCACTAGCTAGAGAATGTTTTATTGTTGAAACTCGCACCAGTTACAAAAGTCTGGACGACCCGCGCATTTAGATTGTTCTAGGCAAAAATATGGAGAGAAATCAGGCTGGAAAGCATCACAAGTTGTCGCAGGTACTTATTTAGCCAGTCTGCCTGTGAACGTCGATTTCGTCACTATTCTTGCCCTGGACTAGCACCGTAGTCACAAAGTCACTAAACGCTTGTGCTTGATTGAGGGACACTGCATTCTGTGCAGAACGTAGTTTTCTTCCTGCTCGGGACAGTGACAATAAATTTGAGGGATGTATTTTCGTCCACAAAATTGTATTTAATTACAATTGTATTGGAAATACCCACGTTTTAGTATTTAAATACACACGTCAAATACATTACCCAATTTGTAATTAAATACAAATGCAAAATACACAAAGTATTTGAAATACGTATTTCAAATACTTGTATTTGAAATACTGCCCATCCCTGAAGCTGATATATTTACAAGTATGTACCAACGAGCTCAACTCTTAACCGTTATGAAGTTACGCATAGAAGAATCACGCGTGGGGTCTGCCACTTCGATATTTGTCAACCGAGGCGACACCTACCGTCAGTAAGTGGACCCTTATATAGCACCGTGCCGGAAACCAGTATTTCGATTATAAAACCAACTACTGCGCGCTAATCGAGCAAAAACTACGAGAAAATAAGGATGGAAAAAAAGGATTCCATACTATTGAATGAAGAAAAATGTAAAAATAACGACAAAATACTGAGCGCCTAAGATAGTAGTTTTCACATTTGCCACCGGCTTTACGCGCGCTGTTTACGTATCAATGCTGACATCAGTTCGCCTTTCTAGATTCATAATAACGTGAGTTTCCTATCATTCAACTTGTACGTCTCTCCTAATTACATTACAAAAAGCGACATATACTTAGCTTTCTTCGCACTCAAATAAACCGAACGCTTTAGATTTACAATCGTGAATAGAGCGAAAAAAAATTCTAAAACAGACAATATTGTTTGGTAGTCGAGTTAGCTTCATGTGGAGACTGGAAGTGGCAGAGACAGAAGTCCTTCACCACCATACGTCTCTAAGAAGCAAAGCTAATTACCGCGACGCTAACTAGGTGGCGCAAGCCGCTGCCCAATTCGAACCTCCAGTCATAATATTCCTTCATCCATCCGCGTAGTCATCCAGTTGACCTTCTTTCGCTCGTAATCGTAAAGTTTCCTTCTCTAACAACAATCTGGTGAATCAGTATTCCAGTAAAACTCTAGCCGAATACTAAAAGGAAGCGCATAACAGACCTCTAAAAGCAAGGTCACTTAATTGAGTCATACGTACACCGCTGACGAATGCGCACTCGGCAATATTCCGCACACGCGAAACCTTTCAGGCAGGTCATTAAGACAGTTACTTTTTCCCCTTTCGATACTGAGAAATCGGCCGGGCCGCATTTTTCTCGAGCGTAATACTCAACATATCCCAGGGCCACTGGCTTTCGCGCTTTCTTCTTTTTTCTTTTTTTCTCTTTCAATGAGCTGTGTACGCTTTTATACGATGTATTTATGCCATATCATCCAGACCGAAGGGAGTTCGAAAAACATGGGCGCGCCTGTCAGTCACAGGGGAAAATTTGCCTGACATTCGCAATCCAGCGTTCACAGGTGCAGTTTCTTTCTTTTTTTCTTTTTTCTGGTTGATTATTTCGTTACGCGACCTCATTCACAAAGTTTCCTGAAACGCGAAGCGAAAATAATATAATAATGATAAAAGAAAAAAGGTGAACGAGAGAAGTGCCGCCCGAAAACTAGTTTCCTTGGCATATGTCACACTGAGCGCATTGATCACGCAATATTCCAGTCTTTGTGCTGATCGAATCGACAATTTTATGCCGCGAATTATCATGACTTCGAACCGAAGAGCACGACACGGCAGAATCTCTGAAACCAGGTTGACAAGAAAGCGAGGGAGGCAACACTGGTTCGCAAGTGAGCACGTTTCAAAAGCTGTAATGTGGCCACCTTGGATGGAAAATGCTTTGTTTGGGCGCCAGTCTGGCAACCGTGAGTCGCGCCTTAACAAGGCTTGATTACCATGCTACAGGTGATCTACAACAGCAAGTGCCAAGATGGCGGCTATCGGAGACTTTACTTGGAAACGCTTCTATAGGGAGTTTCCACGGACGTTATTTCGTCCGCCATTTTGTTGTCTTGAGTTGTCTGGCGTATGCTAAAGACTAGCATTCCGTTTAAGACTCTCAGCTTGGTATAGTGCACAAAAACTTAAAAATTTCGTCATGCACCTTTCTTTTTTTTTTTTTTTTTTGATAAATAAAACCATTTCTCACTTACTCACTTAACAAAACTGCGGATTGACTTCGTGCGAAAACGCCGTATACTTGGAGTACGATTAATATAAACACATTCGAATGGTGTCAGATACGAAGGCGGAGGTTAAATGTAACTATTTATAGGTTCATGGACTTTATTATCGTAAAGCTGTTCTTCAATTTACGTCTATTGTCATATATATTCGACCTGCGCTCTTCTATTACGTTCATTTTTCCACCTCCAGCTTCATATTTTTTACTTTGATACTGTTTGTTCTATCAAGTCATATGAAACAAAAACAAAAAAAAAAAGATTTTTTTGTTTTGCATAAATATACTACGCAACACAGAAAGCTGAAAATGTATCACAATGTAACGGGAGTGGTGTTGACAAAAATGCGAAAGTTTAAGATATGTTACCTTCACCAACATATATACAAGAAAAACAATATGTTCTTTTTTTTTATGAGCCGACGCCCACGTAAGCTTAATATATACTACATCAAGAAATGACACTCTGGGAATCTGTAGCATTTATTTTGTATAAAGAAAAAAATAGCTTGTCAGCAAGAAACAAAACAACATCGCCTTTCTTGCTGACAATTGTTTCTCTATTGAAATACATGCCACAGGCTCTCACACTATCTTCATTTGGTTTTATAAATATTAGGCTTAGAACGTTCCTGTTTATCTTGTAACTTTGAATCCAGGTCATGTGCTTCAACGTTCTCATCGCTGCTATAGCGTCACATTCTCACGAAGTTTCAGCTCTCTGCAAGTTTATTTATGCGGGCCGATAAAACTGGTATCACTTTCTTCAACGGACCCTGTGATTAACTCTTATTGTGTGTAAAAAAGATTGCTTTAAAATTTTTAATCCGAATTTGCACTATCAATGGAATTGATTTTGCACGGTTGTTATGTTGTGTTCCCCTTCAAACAAGCTATTAATATGTTTTGTCGCTCGACTTGTTTTCGTTTTTACGCGTGTATTTTTTGCTTCACTGCC